AATTATTTGAGCAGCTATCATGACACATGTTTGATCCCTGGGTTGGGAAGATCCCCTGGGGAAGGGAATGGCAACCCACTCAAGTATTCTTGCTTGGGAAATCCCATGGACAGAGGAGCCTGGCAGGCTACAATCCAGGGCATCACAAAGAGTTGGACACGACTGAGCGACTAACACTTCACTTCACTTCATGACTGAAAGCATGTACCAAGTGCTCCTAATCCAAGGAGAATTTGGCCCGTCTGGTAGAATGAAAAAGGCTTGGAGTCAGAGAGAACTGGTTCAAGCCCCATCTTGGCCCCTGACCTCTGGAGTTTCAGCCTCTGTAAGATTTTTCTTATCGGGGACTTTGTGGTCAGGGGATGCGATGCTGCTGCTCTTCTCCCGTGATTCCTGTATGCAGCAGACTGTAGGGGGAGTCCAGGTGCCAGGAGAAGGGAACCAACCTGCCCTGACACCTGCCAAGGTTGACACCTGCCAAGGTTGACACCTGATAGGTTTCAAAAGTGGCAGTGTGCTCTGGGAAACTGGATGCTTCATGGGCCGAGGGAATCTCAGGAGCTGTGAGGAGACTGGATGCAAATGAGCAAAGACCCTGATGGGAAAACCTCAGATCTCAGCAGATGCCTGGAGCTGCCCTTACCCACAGCCCCCTGGCCCTCAGACACAAGCATGGGAAACCAAGAGGAGGAAGGATGAGAGGTCAGTCAGTCTAAACCGAAACCTGAAATCACTTTCTCCTGTAAGCAGCTCGATTAAAAGTGGAGGGTTGAGACAGAAATTATGCTTAGTTGTAGGAAAATAGGTGCATTTTGAACCCCTGAGTCTGTAGTCTATAAAAAATGGACCCATTATGCAGGACATGCTTTCATGTATGTCCTCCTACACTGGTGTGCACAGACCAGAGACCACGGTTGCTCTCACACACGGCAAACATCTATCCAGTGTGTGCTGCTAAAGGTCTAACAGCCAGCTTTCTGGGAAATACAAATAACAACAATGTGACTGGTACCAGCTGCTGATTTCTGGGCTGTAAATACTCCCACCATGGTAATTTAGAGCTATTAATGCCATATCACTAAACAGTTAGAAAAATATGCACAATTAGCTCTTTGTGAGCTAGTATGGGCCAGCTCCAGCACAACGGGCAAAGTTACATTTGTATACCTATGCACCCACTCAGAGGTACCTAGATGTGCAGGATTGCTCAGGTTCCTTTGAGAATTGAAATGCTAATTCTGTACATACACTAATACAGAAACATGCATAAAGATACAATCTCAAATACATGCCCTTGTAGATGAATCTAGTCACTTAGAACATATACAAATATGTAAATATATACAAATCTATGTATAGATCAATACAAGCCAAAACATGCATATAAACACATATATAAACACCCTCATGCCTAGGAAGAGGGAGTAAACTAACCTGATTTTCTGGGGTAGTTCGCTTGACCTAAGGCCCCCCTTTCAGAAGCGCGTCAGATCAAGGCAGAAGAGGCTTGAAAGGTAAACTGTGTACACTCATCCACACTTACTTCTTTGGACACCTCACCCCTTCTGAATTGTTCCTGGTGGACCTACAGGTGTGGAAGAGCTCTTGCTTTCTAGCTACCAGCCTCAGAGTCCCACCTCCGCCCTTAGTAAGGCAGCCCCTCACCCCTCTCTCTTCCCCTGTAAGAAGCCAACTCCAGTCTGTCTCTGCTCTCATCGTAGAACAAAGGACAAGGTCAGCATGACCCCCACCCTAACTTCAATCCCTCCCCATGACTTCTGCCCTGCTCCTCATCACTTCTTGTTCATCTCTTGCTTGAGTTATTGCCCCAGCTTTCTGAGTATCTTCCTGCTCCCGGCTCTTCCCTCCCATTTATCCTGCTATAAGGAACCTGCCAGATTAATTGTCCTAAAGCACAGTGCTGAGGTCACACATGCCGTGGTAACTTTCCAATGCAAGACACATCAGGGCTCGATCCCTCTGAGGCCCCCTGACCACTTGTCCAGCACCCACTTCCCCAGTTCACAATTTCACTTCTATTTTCTCCAAACGTCTTCCTCTCCCCAGTTTGTTCTGCAAAACATCTCTGCTGCAGAATCTGCTCGCTTCCGTCTTTAGTTCACAGTAGTATTTACTACCTCTCCTATTTGTGGTAGAGTGCTTTATAGTTTATAAGTACTCTTAAAACCATTCATGGACCTCCTGATATATGCCTGATACTGAGGTTAGCCCAAGAAATACAGTGCTGAGTGAAAACAGATGTGGTTGTGCTTTCATGAACCAGGTCAACATACCCTTTTGAGTATCTTGGATCATCAAACTCCCTGCTCCAAAATCATAAGTGGATTTGGGAGGGAGGATATTTGTCCAGTATTTTACCTGACCCCTCCCCCACTTCTCAGGAAATATGGCCTCCCTGGAGTCATGAGGATTAAGTAGAGAGGACAGAATGAAACTGGCTTGCAGATTCTTAGAAGACTTTACCAATCTTGTGAGCATCACAGGAGCAGCTGCTGGGGCATTGCAAGGCCAGTACGAAGGGGCACTAAACCTTTACAAAGCTATATAGTCGTTAACACTTGTCTGCATTGCAACATCTTTATTTCCTTCCCATTACAGTAACTAGCCACACCCATTTTAAGCAACATCTTTTATTTGTGTGAGCCTAGGCTAATTACTTTGATTTCACAGTTTCCTCACTTGTAATATGTGGTTAGAAATCTGATATTTTCATGGGGTTGTTGGAATGATCAAATGAGATAAGGATACATAAAATAACTTTATAGAAATTTAATGTACAACACAAATGTATAGTCATTTATTCAACACAGTTTTCTTCTTTAAATCAATCATATTTCATAAATAGGTACTTAACAACTTTGAAATATTCTGGCCCAGATGGCTAGGAGACAGGATATAGAATAGCACAGTGCTAGTGGTAAAGAATCTTTCTGCCAACACAGAAGATTAAGAGATGCGGGTTCAATCCTTGGGTCCCCTGGAGGAGGGCATGGCAACCCACTCCAGTATTCTTGCCTGGAGAATCCCATGGGCAGAGGAGTCTGGTGGGCTACAGTTCATCAGGTTGCAAAGAGTTGGACATGATTGAAGCAACTTAACATTCATGCACACGCAGTAGAAATGTAAGTCACATATGTAATTTTTAAAATTTCTAGTTAACTATATTTAAAAAAGATAAAACAGACTGGCAAAATTTATTTTAATAACATATCATTTTAATTCACTATCTCCAAATAATATCAACATGTCACTTGTGTAAAAACTACAGGAGATACTTTTATATTCTGTCTTGGTACTAAATCTTAGCTGTCCTATATTTTACACTCACATTGCATCTCATTTGGACTAGCCACATTTCAAGTGCTTAATAGTCACATGTGGCTACTCTGTTGGACAACAGACACTAATTAGCAAGGCCAATAAAAATTAGTTAAGATCTATGCAGTACTTTGTGATTTCCACAACCCTTTTGATACATAAATCCCGTATAAGTCTGAGTAGGTGGCTGTTTAACATCTCCATTTCATAGAGGAAAAGAATCAGCAATTCTGTGTACTTTGCTCAAGGTCATCACTAGCAAATGGTGAACTCAACTCTTATCTTCAAACCTTTCTTGTGCTTCCTTTTCTAACAAGAAATACAAAGGGAAACTTTAATATTATCATATACATAGATCCAAAGGCTCACTGTACCAAGGCATGAAAAGGAACAGTTCTTTCAAAATCTATCTACAGTTTCCTCTTCAAAAATCCTGCCAGTTTAATCTCACCAGAATATTTTACTTTCATTATCCTAAAAATGTGTGCTTTGGATAAACACTTTCCAGGTCTGAAGTACTATGGATGTAAATGATACAGGTGGGCTTAAAAAAATCCTACCCGTCTCTCAGATACTCTCTATGATGTAGGGCTCTACTTTTAATTACTCTTAGGGGTTAAACTGAAGTGTTTCAGAGTCCCAGATAGGTAACAAGTGAAAATACTCCTCTTTTCTAGTTTTTTTTTTTTTTCAGTTTAATGGATTATTTCTTTTTTCCATTTATTTTTATTAGTTGGAGGCTAATTACTTTACAATATTGTAGTGGGTTTTGCCATACATTGACATGAATCAGCCATGGATTTACTTGTATTCCCCATCCCGAACCCCCCTTCCACCTCCCTCTCCATCCCATCCCTCTGGGTCTTCCCAGTGTACCAGCCCAGAGCACTTGTCTCATGCATCCAACCTGGGCTGGTGATCTGTTTCACCCTTGATAATATACATGTTTCGATGCTGTTCTCTCTAAACATCTTTTCTAGCTTAAAAAGCACACATGCCCCAAATGTTCAAAGCATTAACAGATCCAGTTGGCTGTCAGGGGCAGAAGCGCCTAGTGCTGGGTTTCTATTATAAGATCGGCAGGCATGTCCGGGAGATGGGGGTGGGGAATTTGGGATAGGCCAGCTTGAGAATTGCCCTGCGAAGTCCCTCTCACTAGACTGATGTTCCTGAAGAGATGCCAATGGCAGCTGACTGCCCTCCTAGCCCAGGTTGCTGCCCAGAACCGCCTGGAGATGCCCACGGAGGCGCGCAGGTGCCCCGGCTTGACTCCCAGACCGGACTAGTATTGTCCCCCTCCGACTTCCCTTTCCCTGTCTCCACCCCTATAAAGAATGAGAGCTCTGTGGTGGCTGGAAGGTAACAAAAGGCTTCTAAAACCTGTCAACAACAAATAATCAGTCGATCTAAGAAAGAAATGGAAAATTTTATTCGAGCCAAATTTGCCGATTATAACTCAAGAAGAGCATCTCAGAAAGCTCCAAGAATTCTTTCACCTGTTAGAAGTCGAAGCACAGTAATACAAATTTTTTGAAAGACAGCTGTACATTAAATATTATTGACAGTTTACAGAATCCATATCTAAGTGCCATGTGACCCTCTATCAAGAATGAGTGTTATCTTTAAGAAGTCGTCTTACTGATGCCAGAATTTTGCTCTTTATGGTTAAGCAGGTATTTCTGCCGAAGGGGAGGTTCACAGAGGCTTGGTCCATGCCTAACGCAGATACGCAATGCACAATAGGTGGGGGAAGAGGAGGCCAAAGGGCAGATAAAACCTTGAAAGTTTACATTTTTCTTGCCCAAAAAAATACAAGTTTTATTTTACAAACCAAATCTGCTAGTTTGCCTGGCATACTACAGCCTCCAAATAGCCTCCACAAAGAACCCAACTTCCTCTGTAAGACAGTAAAAACTGAACGCTCCCTTCTCGGCTTACAAGGACAACCTGGAGAGGTTTCTCGGTTTCCAGCCCGCTTCTAGTTACTCTTGGTTACGAATATTCACACAAGCGAAGTGTAAAGTCTGCGTGGGTACTCATGGGCGCATGGTGTGACTCTGCCATCGCCGGGCATGTGTTGGGTTGACCAGTGCAATAATTCTTTACGACTTCCAGTGATCTCCGATCCCATATCGCGAGGCTCTGCCCCCGACCTGCGTCACGGTCTGTTTCACCTACAGTCTACGTGGCGCCCGAGCTTTGCGCATGCGCGAGGCGGAGCTGCCACCAACTTCCGGGCAGAGAGAGGCGAGCAAGCCAGTGACGGGTCTGGCCTGAACACCCCTTTCGGGTTCCTCCACTTGGGATCCCGTATCCGTCTCCAGAAGCAGGGCCCAGGCGGTGGGGAGGAGGCCTGCAGGAGCCGCCGCGGACTGCACTTACCCAGCCGGGCGCACCAGCCAGACGCGCCGCTCCGGGGCTGGGGGCGGGCCGCGGCGCCACGCCCCACGCACGCGCATGGGGAGTCAGCTGGACCGCACCGGTGTTCACGTGACGCGGGGCGGTGCCCTGCGGACTGGAGGGAGGGAATCGCAGCCGGGAGGGAAGCGAGCGGCGGGATCCGCGGTGGCGGTAGCAGCAGCATGGTTACGCTGTACGGGGGTGTAGAGGGGTGAGTGCGGTCCGGAGCGGGGAGGCCGGGAGGGGAGTCCTGGGCCACTCTCTGGCACGAGGAGAGGGGGCGAAAGGAAGGCCGTAGCCGGGCCGGTAGGCTGGTGACCTCCCGCCTCAGTGAAGGTTCGGCCACCTGGGCTTTGGGGCCTTGAGGAGGAGTGTGTGCAGGCGCAGCGGTTACCTTGGGTGCGCGGTCGTGTACTTTGCAGGCACTGTTTGCCACGGCAACAGCCCGGGGTCCCTCCTTTGTGTTTTGTGGCTGAAACACGCCCCTTTCTCCCACGAAAGACCCACTCCATCGGAGTTCTGCTGGAGCAGCTCTTTTTTTTTTTTTTCCCATTCCTGCTCCCGAGAGTTTTGCAGAACAGGTGTCAGGTGTGAAGTTGCTGGACTGGGGGTGGGGAGCGGGAGTGTGGTGGAATCCGGAACAGTGAGCTTTGCCAGAAGGTATCTGGGATTTAAGGGACATCACAGGTGGCGCAGTGGTGAATCCGCTTGCTGCTGCAGAAGACGCATTGGATCCCCGAGTTGGGAAGATCCCCTGGAGGAGGAAATGGCAGTCCACTCTAGTATTCTTGCTTGGAGAATCCCATGGACAGAGGAGCCTGGTGGGCTGCAGTCCCTAGGGTTGCAACGAGTCAGAAGCGACTGAGCGCGGGGACACACAGACAGACACACGACCTAAAACTGGGGTGGTGGGAGTGCTAGCCTGTCCTGATGTCTGAAACCCCTCCATTTTTTTTTTTTTTAAATCCTCTCTGTTCTTATTGGCACTTAAGGCTCCTCACCCTAGATTCAGCCCTCTTGTTCTTGCATATTTCCTGCTGGGAAGCTTGTCTGCCAGACTTTTTGTAATAACTTTTCTCCTCCGTATCACCATGGGCAAGACTCTTGCCCTGTCTGGGCTTCAGTTACCACATGTGTGAAGTGAGAAGAGCGATGAACAGAATGATCGCCAAAGTTCCCTACCAGTGACAACATTCTATGAATCTGGGTGTGTCAGATCAGAGTAGAGAGTGGGCTTTTGTCTGAGCTAGAGCATTTTTTAATCTGAGCTTGGACGACGACTACAGCAGTCACATCTCACTGCAGACACATGCATGGACCCCAGAGTCTTTTCTTTCACATGTATGGTTATGATCGATCTCTCCTGCCCTGTATCTATTGCAGTTTTTTAAACTAAGTACAGAAGTTTGTGTTCATCCTGGCCATATTCATGTGTAACATATAAACTTTTTTTTCCAGTTTGTTAAGTTCTTTGGGGACAATGTGCCACCTCATACATTAACTACCCCTTGAAACTTGTTGTCATCTTTGAGTTTGATCAACAAGTCTTCAGTGTTCTCTTCTGATAGTCCTGAAAGTACTGATCAATAAAGAAACATACATCACACCACCACAGACCTCCCTCCAAACTACCATGTCCCAGCATTTGACCATTTAGTTGCTTAAGCAGGTATTAACTCTCCCTCCCATCTGGTCAGTGTCTCTCACAAGAGTGTCTTAAAGACCTTGGCAGCTGAAGCTGCTAAAGGCAACCTGTAGCTGTTGTGAGAGAAGTAGAGAGATACTCAGTTCCTTTTATCTACCTGTGCCAGGTGTGAGGGTAAATAAATGATCCAGAGCTTGACCCCATGGAACTTGGAGTCTAGTGAGTGGCAGACAGGAAAACAGCTTAACACACTTTTAATACTGTGGAGTCCGGGGTGAGTGGGGTGGGGAACAGTGACACAGCTGAACTAATGGCGCTGTGGTGGCTGGCCACACATCAGAGGTTTCAAGGGCAAAGGGTCTTGGAGGATAAGTAGGATGCCCCCTAAGGAAGCTGAATGGGAACTGCATTTCGGAAGTCCAAGAGCATAGCAATCACCCAGCCACAGAGGAAGGTTTGGGAGTGGTAACTGGGTTTGCTGAAGCGATCTCCCTCACACTGGGCTCTGCCTGTGACAAGGACTGCACAGATTTAGCTGTATCTGCAGGTTTTTGAGTTAAGACTGAGTGCCCCCTTGTGTTCTGTAGGGGAGGCACACGATCCAAGGTCCTTTTACTCTCAGAGGATGGGCAGATCCTGGCAGAAGCGGATGGACTCAGCACAAACCACTGGGTAAAGGCCACACTGAGGGGACGAGTAGGCTTGATTGTGGTTTTATCCTCTGTAACTCCTGTTAAGGTGGTGGCTGGGGGCTCACTTAGCAGCCTTTGGGGCAACACAGGTCATGCACGCCTTTGTAATTCCTCCTTCCCTTGATTGGGGCCAGCTGATCGGGACAGACAAGTGCGTGGAGAGGATCAACGAGATGGTGAACAGGGCCAAAAGGAAAGCAGGGGTGGATCCTCGGGTTCCTCTCCGAAGCTTGGTGAGTCTGGGTAGCGCTTGGGAATTAGGTCACAGCAACGCTGAGACGGTGAGTTTGAACTGGAGGAGCCTGGTGACTGCAGAGGGAAAGACATACATTCTTGTGGTTGCATTGTCACCTACAAGCCACAGGATTGGAAGAGCAGAAGGCTTTGGAGAGCCTTGAGGCCTTGGTTTGAATCCCAGCTTTGTGACGCAACATCTGGGTGACCCTCGGCACGTTACTTATCTTGTCTAAGCCTCAGTTTCCTCATTTGGGAAATGCAGATAACAGTAGCTACCTCAGTTGCTGGGAAAGTAAAATGACATGATACATCCCAAAGTGGTTCGCACAGAGCCTGACGCATGAGCGCTGGTTAAATGTTAGCTCGTATTCCTGGCTCAGAGCTTACTCTCAGGTCACTGTAGCTCTGGCTTCTCCCTGGACGTGTTTGTGAGATGTCCTGCAGGCATGGCCAAACCCCATGCATTCCAAACCAAGCTCCTCCTCCGCTTGCTCCTCTGCCTGGTTTTTCTAAGGGCACTGTGTCCTTCCCAGCTCCAAACCTGGCAGTGTTGACTCCCTTGTTTTGTCCATGCTCCATCCCGGTTCTTGCAGCCTCAGCCTTCTGCTGAGGCTCTGTGGGGTGGAAGGAGGACTGGGCTGCATGAACAGGGAAGGCCCAGCTGTAGAAAGCAGGGGCAGTCATCAGGAGGGGAGGGGGTTGAGAAAGGAGCTGGGTCTGGGCCTCTGCTTGCTCGCTCACCTCCCGCGTGGCCTAGGGCCTATCCCTGAGCGGTGGGGATCAGGAGGACGCGGTGAGGATGCTGATGGAGGAGCTGAGGGACCGATTTCCCTACCTGAGTGAAAGCTACTTAATCACCACCGATGCCGCCGGCTCCATCGCCACAGCTACGCCGGATGGTGAGGAGGTGGAGGGAGGGGTGAGGTTGAGAACCGGTTTTCTTGGGGAAGCCCCTTAGGTTTAGCTGGCAGAACTTGACTTGCAAATGTCTGGGGAGCAGCCTCCACCATGGCCCCCACTCCTTTCATTAGCAGAAACTTGCTAGAGCAAGGACTGGGCAGAGGAGGGAGGGCAAGAAGGGTGTCTTCATAGGAAGTGAGAAAGGAGTCAAACACGAGGGTCCACTGCAGAGGAGGATTGGGCTGTGCAGTGATAAAGCCGGCTGGGGACAGCGACCAGTGCTGAAAAGACACTGGGAGGAACTGTTCGTTGGGAATGTAAAAGCTATGGCATCATGAGATGGCCTGTTTTGCCAGCTGTACCATCTTGGAGAAGTTACAGAACTCTCTGAATTTCAATTTCCTCATCTGGAAAATGGGGATAATTGTCTTCTTAAGGTGGTTTAGGGTCTTGAATGTGTAGCACCGTGTGAACAGGGTCTCACACCACCCCTGGCATACGGCAGGGACTTGGTAAAGCAGGTAGTCACTTGAAGGCTGGCTGGGCAAGGAGACACAGACTCGGGTTCCTCTTTGGAAAAGGGCTCTATGTGACTGGAGTTCTTTTGAGACCCAGGCCCTCCACCTTCAGGCAGGAAACTAGCTGGGCTGGGTTTTCTCTACAAAGCTGGGTGGTGATCCCTTTGCTTGGGGCTGGTCTCTGTCCTTTCTCTCCTCAGTCAGAAGCTGGGAGCTCTGTGCAGAGCCTCAGCCACGCAGAACCTCCTGTGCCCTTTCCAGGTGGGATCGTGCTCATCTCTGGGACGGGCTCCAACTGCAGGCTCATCAACCCCGACGGCTCTGAGAGCGGCTGTGGCGGCTGGGGCCACATGATGGGAGATGAGGGCTCAGGTGAGCTCACGCCGACTGGGCCTGTCCCAGGGTCCTGGACCTTCCCTCCCTGCAGCTCTCCATCTTCCTCTCCCCTCAGCCTGAAGACCCCTGGGGACTCCTGGGGAGACAGTGCCTGAATCTGAGCACAGGGTAATGACTAAGAGATCGTAGAGATGCAATTGCTGGGCGAGTGGCAGGCCCTGCTCTTCAGCAGTAACTTGCACCCTGGACTCAGA